AGGGAGCGCGCGTGCGCGGGAGGGGGACGCCGCGTGCACGCCCTGACCCGCCGCGCCCGGCGCCGTGGCGCCTCCTCCGAGAAGCCATCCTGGCTCCCGGGCTGAGCCCCTCGGCCCCTGAGTGCCCGGCCCTGACCGTAACTGGGACGTCTGCGCCCCCTTCCCTCAGGCTGGGGTGGTCCGTGTACACAAAAGGCGTCTAATGGTGTGCGAATCCACATGGTAGGGCAGGGCACCAGAGAAAGGACCACTGTAAGAGCGGCAGCAGTTCCATCCCACGCTCCGTCCCACCCCACCCCAGGCTGGGCGCTGTCATGCACCCTGGTTTCATCTGCGCGGGATAGATAGAGGGGCGCGGTCTGCATTTCCCAGGCGAGGAAATGAAGGTCCAGAAAGTACGGGTCGCCCGATACGGAAGGAACTGAGGGACTTCCCCCCACCTCCCGAACCACTGAGATGCCATGCCCCTGTGGGTGGGGCCCTAGGAATCTCCTGGAACCCGCAGAAGCCTTGGCAACGCAAGCCACCGCGTCCCAGCAACAGCCAGCAGGGCAGGCCAGGAGTCAAGGTGGCACTGGGCTTGGAGCAGGCCCGGATCCCTTTTGCCTATGGAGCATGTGGTGGTCCCAGGCCCCAGGCCTGGGGCCCCAGCAGGGGCCACTGAGAATGTGAGTCCTCCCAGGAAGGTGCTGCTCCTGCCGTGGGTTTGGGGGCCTTCCCTTTCCCGCAGAGGTCAAGAGGGGTGCAGGTCCCCAAATCCTGTGTCTGATCCTGTCCAGGGGAGGGGCTGCCCCAACTCAGCCAGGCTGGGTGGGTGGGGGGTGAATGGCTGATGGCCCCATGGGAGTGGGGGCCAGCCCAGACCTGGCACCACCCTGGGGGATGGGTGGCGGTGCCTCCCCAGGTTGTGCAACCAGCCGAGGACTGGCTGCCAGGTGTTCTTGGGGGCATCCCAGCATGGGCCACTAGCCTTGACGCAGAGCTTCCATCAGATCTAGAGTTGAGCGAGGAGCAGCGGCTGCAGGTGGACATGGGGCCCCAGGGTGCTGGAGGAGGGAGGGTGTCCTCAGGATCCCACGGGCATCACCTCTCACCCTGGCCACCCACAGCTCTCCAAGGAGCTGGTCGACCTTCAGATCACCACCCACTGCCTGCAGGAGCAGCACGAGGCTGAAATCTTCGAGCTGAAGAATGAGGTGAGCAGTCACGGGAGCCCACAGAAGCCAACCTGAGTACATGGGGTCCGGTGTGTGGGAGTGCACAAACGCTCAGTGTCTGTGAGTCTCTGCCTGTCCTCCCTGTGCTGTCTGTCCTTATGTGTGTCCAGGTGAACGTTCACCTGCTCCAGGGGCCTAGCACCCAGGGGCACCTGCTCACCCAGGTTGCCCCCAGGTCCTTCGGCTAGAGAGCCGGGTGCTGGAGCTGGAGCTGCATGGAGATCATGCCAACCGGGGACGTGTAGCCCTCAAAGAGGCAGACACAGGGCACCACCAGGCACGAGCACGAGAGCTCAGACGCAAAAGTCAAAGCCCTGCACTCTCCAACCACTGCAGACTCCAGGTCACCATGAGTACATGGAAGGTTTTTTTGGGTGGGGCCAGGTGGGAGCCTCAGCAGGGGTGCAGTGAGACTGGGACCTGCTCACCCACTCCTCAGCCCTCCCTGCTGCCTTCTATACAGGTGCAACCCAAAGACTTCCTGACCCCTGGGAATGAGCAGCAAGAGCTGGGGCACAGCATGAGCATGCAGCCTGGGAGGTGTTTCCTAGCCCAGGGTGGGGGCAGTTCAGGGGACCCAGAGCTTGGAGTCTCGTCCAGCTAGCCCTTGTGCACCCCACAGCTGCTGGGGGGCCAGGAGCAGCTGCAGGAGAAAGTAAAGCAGGCGCTGGAGCATCATAGGGCCTGGCAGCAGGCACTGGAGACATGCGTGTGAGTGGCTGCCCCACCTGGGACTGGGGGAGCCCAGCAGAGTACAGTGCTCAGAGCAGCTGTTCCTGTGGGCGGAGGGAGTCTCTCACCCCAGGCCCGGCTGAGCCCCACACCTGTGTCAGCAGGGCAGCATTGGGCCGGCAGCTGCAGGGAGCCCAAGAAGAGGCCAGGGCTGCCGGGCAGCGACTGGCTGCACAAGCTGTGGTGAGGCCCAACGATACCCACCTGGAGATCTGGTGGGGGGTGGCCTACAAGTTCAGTGGAGGCCCACTCCTCAGAACACAGCTTAAGGGCCACTTCCACCCGCAGGTGCTTTCCACCTGCCAGGGCCAGCTCCGCCAGACTGAGGCCGAGAACGCCCGGCTGCAGCTGCAGCTCAAGAAGCTGAATGAGGAGCATGCTGTCCGGCTGCAGCGCTGTGCCCAAGAGGCGGTGGTGAGTCCAGCTGGGCGGCCCTGTGGTGAGGGCGAGGTCTCAGTCCTGCAGAGCCCAAGACTAGCCTGCATGTGCTCTACAGCTCAGGGAAACCCTGTGGGCCTGGTCCTCTGCACTGCCTGGCTTGCTGGGGAAGTGGGCCCAACCAAGACCCAGCCCACCCAATCCCACCCCTGGCCCTGTGCTGCCTCTGCCAGGAGCATGCCGATGGTGCGGGCCAGGTGCCTGCAGCTGCAGCTCTTCGGACGTTCCTGGAGACCACTCTGGAGGACATCAGGGCAGCGCACCGCAGCCGTGAGCAACAGCTGGCCCGGGCCGCTCGCACTTACCGCAAGCGTCTGGCTGATCTGAGCCGCAGGCATGAGGAGCTGCTAGCCTCCCACAGGTGGGCCCCGCCCTGACCTGAGCACCTAGGGTGGGCTGGCCCCATGACCCGGAGTGTGGCTTGGTGTGCAGCAGCGGCAGCAGCGGCCCTAAGCACTGGCTCACCCCAACAGGGCACCCAGGACCCCGAAGGCTACGTTTGATGCAGCCACCTTGGACCTGAAGCCACTGCCCGTGAACCTGGTCACTGACCTCATCCACCTGTGGGAGGATCCGGCGAGGCTAGAGACACACCTCCAGAAGCTCCAGGCCCAGGTGCCCCCTCCCTGCCGCCCCACCCTGGCCATGGGGCACAGAGCCCCAGAACTCACCCAGGCCTCGTCCCAGGCTCAGCAGAGCCCCAACCCCAGGGCCTCTGAGCCGCCTGCCTTGTTCAGCCAACCCCGGAACCCCTGCCACCTGCCTTTACAGCACAGTGGGCTTGGGAAACTGCTCCTGTCCCCACAGAAGGGACCTGGTGAAACCTCCCAGGGGGGAACATCGGAGCCACAGTGAGTGCCCTCGTGTGGGGGACACATGGAGGGGAAAGACAGAGAGCAGCGTACTGTGGCTCCTTGTCATTCATCTCCAACCCTCACTGCCCACGGGGTTCTGGTCACAGCAGTGGACAGTGGCCCACCCTGCCCTCGGGTCTTTAAGTTTGTATGGAGGACTCTGGTCATCACAGAAAAGTGAAGTGGCCATCATCTGTGCTAAGTGCCTGGTGGGTGAAGAGAGGACCTGCCAGTAGAGGAGCTGACCTTGAACAAAGAGGGTCAGGGAGAGCCCCCCAAAGGGAGGGATATACTAGCCGAGACCTGAAGGACCCAGAGGTGAAGACTGCATGGGAGAAGTTTGTTTGGTGACTTTGCCAGTCCTGCCTCTTGGCCTCCGTGTCTCCCACTGCACAACGAGCATGGCTCTCGAAAGAGCAGCTCCCAGGGTTTGGGGAAACAAACACCGGGGTGGGAAGGGGGTGTTAGCATTCCTACAAACTCTGGTGTTACTGTCTGAGCTGGCCTCGTGGCTTAGCCCTCCGTGAACAGCCAGTGTGCCCTCTGGGTCTGGGCTGCCCTGCCCCCAACATACAGATGGCACAAAGGCCTGTGCAGGACCCACTGTGGCAGGGCCGGCCCCAACACCCCTCCCAGCAGGGATCTTCTGGAGGTGATAGGAATCTCAACGTGAGCAGGGTCACTAGTCAGTGCCTGGACTGACATGCCAGCTCTCAAGACCCCCCTCATTCTCCCTTCCCCCTCACAGAGGCCTGGACACTGCATTCTGGGCCCAGATCTGCCAGAAGCTCCAGGACTTCTCTCGTGGCACCCAGGTAGTGGTCGAGGCCTGGCCAGGGGCCCCTCCTCACCCTACGCCCTGGCTCATGGCTTTTGTCCTTCCCCCCATGTCAGGCAGAGCTGGAACAGGAGTGGGCTCAGCTGCTGGTCCGGGCTACAGTGGCTGAGGAGCAGCTTTCTGAGCTACAGGAGTATGTGGACCAGCACCTGGGCAGGTGGGTTCTCAGGAAAGTGGCCTGGGTATGGCCTGGTATTGGTCTGGGTGGGAGGCAGACTGCTCCACAGCCAGGCAGGTGACTTAGGCCTGGTCCCTCCGAGCAGGTACAAGCAGGAAATCCTGAGGCTGAGGAAGCTGGTGGGTGCAGGGGAACCTTGGAAAGTGGGGGCCACACTTCCAGCCAAGCTCCGGCGTCCAAGGACCCGCAGCCGCTAGCTGGTCTTCCAAGGAGCACAGAGCAGACCTCTGCAGAGCCCACCCCTGTGGAAGTCGTCCCACACAGGCCTCCATGAAACAAGAGTCAGGATGGAACCCACAGAGTCTTTATTGTGTCCAGTCAGCCAGCCTGAGAAAAGGGGGCTCCAGGGACCAAGATGGACCTGGGTTCTGGGCCAGGCTTGGTGGGCACCCCTGAAAGGAGGCAGCCTCCCCAGCAGGCCCACCACCATGCACATCATAGGCCCAGACTCGGTCCAGGCCCTCTCCCACTGTGGCCACAGGCTGCCAGGTGGGCAGGGGGAAGCGTCCAGATACCACACGGGCCCCTGGGGGCAGCTCCGCCTGTAGCTTGTCCTCCAGCAGTGGGAGCTGTGGGAGAGCAGGAGAGTGGAAGTGGGCAGGGGGCAGGCAGAATGCAGTTGCCCCTACCCAGCTCGTCCAGGCTCAGCACCTACACTGAGCATGTGGCCTGGACTTCCCCCGGGGGCTAGCAAATCCCAGACCTACCACACTAGGGGCCAGGAACACAGATATGTTGTGGCAGTCCCTCAGGCTCACCTATGAGAAGCAGTCACCTCAGCAAGGGTAGAGGTCTGGTGGGCATGGGCTCACTGCAGTTTCCGAGTCCCAGCTCCCAGCCCACCCAGGTGTCAGGAGTACCAGGGGCTGTCAGCAGAGTGGCCAAGCCAGAACCAGAAGCATAGAGATGAGGTGTGGGGTCTGAGGGGGGTCCAGGACTCCCCAGGTTACCTTCCAGAGGTCCTCACGGCGGTAGCAGACGCTGCCAGCACAGCCCGCCCTCCAGGCGTGCAGCCGCGCCAGCCCCACCAGCCACGGGTTCAGCTCGTAGCCCACAGCCGGGCGGAGCCCGCACCTGTGAGCCGCCAGCACCTGTGGGTGCAGAAAGAGTGGGGAGCCGGATGTGGGGGAGGGGCGCCAGTGGGAGGGGGCAGCAAAGACGCGCGCGCGCGCGCTTCTTACAATCCTGCCGTCGCCGGAACCTAGATCCACCATTTTTCCGGGGCGGCCTCGCAGCAGCGACAACACGTGCTCCACCTGCCTCGCGCTCGCTCCGACGTAGGGCACCTGGGCAAGCGGTGGGCGGGCGGGGAAGGCTGGAGGAACTCACAGGCCGGTTCCGAATCACCGGGGAGAATGGGGCGGAGCTGACCAACTGGACTTCTTAGCGCCAGACTTCCCTGCCCCGCCTGGGGTAGGTACCAACCCACAGCCCCGCGGGGCGCTGGAGCCGCAGTCGCCCGTCGTCCCCCGCCCCACTCATACCCCACCCACCGGTCGCGTCAGGCCCAGGGCTGCTCTGGCCATACCCATCCGTCCTAGCCACGCCCCGGCAGCGAGGCTCGCACCTGCAGCCGCAGCGGCACGCGGCGGAAGCCCGGCTGCAGCAGTAGCGCCCACACGGCGTAGGCTGCCAGGCTTGAGCCCGCCGCCGCCTGTAGCAGCTCCAGCGCGCCCAGCCGCCGCTCGCGCAGCTCGGCC